CCGAAGACGATCCCGCGTTTTCTCTCCCGGAATTCGTCCTCTTCCGTTCTTCTACATCCGGTGATTCTCCAGGTCACTCCTCCGACGAAAACGACGATGCGTCTCATCCCCGTGCTGAAATCCCCAAAATTGGTGTTTCGTCAAACCCTAGGGTTTCGAGTGATGGAGGAAATGGGGCTTTTATCAACCCCGAGCCTCATATCTCATCTCAATTCTACACATTCAACGCCGATTCTCACTCTCTCATGATTCGCTGTCTCCGTGAAGGCCGTCTCGCTACTCCGGCAGAGATCCGCATCGCGACGCCGAGGTCCGTACTCAAGTCATGGCGCGCCGTATGGAAGGATCGAAACGAGGACACGGCTTTCCTCACGGCATGGAAAAGGATCCAGGACAAGCTCACCGCTCGTCTCGATCCAGCCTCCGGTAACGAATTTCTCTGCTTTAAAAACAATTCTCAGCAATTCGTCTCACACCTTAACCAGTGGCAAGATATAGTCATGGGATTTCACGGTGATGGTGATTTGAAACACTTAGGGCCTAAAGAGACTATTGAGAGAATTAAGCAAGTTTGGACTGTGGGTGCTAAGTTCTATGGAATTCCTGAGAGCTTTATTAGGGTTTGTGTAGCGGCATGTGCTGTCTGCAATGCTGACTCTGGTTCTGGTTCGAGGAACAAACGGCGTCGATTTGAGTATACAGAGTCTTTTGATGTGCCTGCAAAGGATGTTCCTGATAGGCTGCAGCAATTGGCTTCTAAGCATAAGGTTGTGCTCTGCATTAGACAGAAGTATATTAGGTATAAGCCATTTATGGCAGAGGTGAAGGATTATGCTTGTCATAGAGCTGGAGAGCCTGCTTCAAAGAAGTCTAGGATTCTGAAGAGGGAGCCTTATCAATCAAAGAGATGTGGTTGTGGTTTTCGGATTAGAGCTATTGTACCCATTGCTAACTACAACGAAAAGGACAAAACTTTTGTATATCAGGAAGAAGGAACAGCTGTTTTTAAGCTATATGCTGTTCATTCAGGACATGAACCTGGGGCAATGGATGGAAATGCGAGGATCATGCATCGTGTTGTTGGTCATAAGGGTTTTTTGATGGACCAAGAGACAGTTTATGGAGTGAGGGAAGAAGAGTTAGAAACTGAAGGAATTGGATTGATTGGGAAGGATGATGGTGGAGATATGCATTTTTCTGTATTGCATCAGGTGCAAGAACTAAGGAGTGAACTTGGCGCTCTAGAAGGAAAGATTGGGAAGATTCCACAGCAGATGTTGGGTTCAGTGTCCAGAGAGTTGTTTGAGGTGCTTAACAAGATCAGGAATATCGGTGATGAGGGTGTCAAGGGAACAACGGGATTGCTTTCTGACAAGACACACTCGGATGAAATACTTGTTGGAGATAACGATTTAGCACACTGGAGTGACCATCACCATGAGCATTTATATGGAGATGGGAAGGATGCAGAACTTATTGAAGATGATGAGGATAGTTTTGGGAGGAGCCTCGATGATGTTGTTCCTTGGGAACAGATAACGCCACCGTCAGGGTGTAGAAGCCCAAAGGATCTCTCGTCTGAAACATGTAAGCCTGAGAAATGGTTAAAGTGCAGTGACTTTGATGAGAAGAGCATTCTGAATTGTGAAGATTCGAAATTAACAAAACCGATGAGACACGATGAAGGTATAGTAACAGATGTAGGTTTAGTTGGTATACAAGTTGATAGCTTCTATCAAGAAAACTCGAAATGGTATGATTCTCCTTGTGGTTTGGATTGAAACACGGACTTTGAAGATAGTGGATTCAGGAACCGGGAGATTTTGTAGAAACGCGGTAAGGTCCACTCATTATAACCAATTTCTAACTCTCTTATGCATATGCATATCATATCCCCAATTCATAACAGGGAATCAGATTGTATATTATTAATGTATTCTACAACACGGTTTCAGGGATTTTTTGTATGTTTGTTTGTTCTAGGAGTTTTCCTTGTTGTGTGTTTATGTAAAGTGAAACTCAGATTGTTTCTCTGCATATATAAACATTGTTAATTTATTTAACCAAGATCTGTAATCTTTCAAAGTGTCTCACTTTTTGTATGTATATATCATTTTGTTTCAGAAAACACTGATGCAGGTTTAGTAGAACCTGCTCTTAGATTAGATTTGTAATTGTGTTTACTTACAACCTTGCTGGACAGTGACTGTTTTGATTAAAAGTGCCAATTAGGGCATAATTAAGGGAGTAATTAGAGTTGAAATATGATCATGTTTGGTCCAAGAGTATTAATTAATTTAATTAGCCATCCTCTTAACTTTTAAGATTTTGAATTGTGATACGTATGGTTTTGTGCCTGGAAGTACACCAAACCGGGAACAAGCTACGAATTTCCCGGCGGTCAACAGCTTAGAATCGCCTTGATGTAAAATGTCAAATTTGGTGTCTTAATTTCCCTCAACTTACAAGTGGCCATCATAGTCCAGTGTCAACTGAAGGGTATTTCGGTCACATGTCACTGCAAATTTTTCATTTCGATGGCAGAAAAATCAAACTTCGACGCGATCTGAAGTTCTTCGTCTCATCTACCTCTTTGCTCTGTACCCTGCAATTTCCATTTTTGCAGCTGTCAGACTCGCCGACCCAACTCGTCGGCGTGGATCGGAGCTCCGTGTCAATCCGGTGAAGAGGCTATTCTTTTCTGTTGGTAGTGGTTTCCAGATCTGTCTAAGGTTGAGTCGCTGAGCTCGCCGTGAAAATTGGGAATGGCTTCCTCGGAAGCCGATTCCCGATTGAGTCGAGTCGTAACACCAGCTTTAGAGAAGATCATCAAGAACGCGTCGTGGCGTAAACACTCAAAGCTCGCTACCGAATGCAAAGCTGTTATCGAACGACTGAATTCGCCACAGAAATCACCAACTCCATCTTCTTCTGCCGACTCCGAGCCTGATTCCTCTGTTCCTGGTCCACTCAACGACGGTGGTTCGATCGAGTACTCGCTCGCCGATTCTGAGTACATCTTCAGCCCTTTGATCAATGCCTGTGGCACTGGTCTCGCGAAGATCGTCGAGCCTGGTATCGACTGTATTCAGAAACTTATCGCGCATGGTTACATTCGTGGTGAATCGGACCCTTCCGGTGGAGCAGAGTCCATTCTCCTTTTTAAATTGATCGAGTCCGTTTGTAAATGCCATGATTTAGGAGACGAATCCATTGAATTACCTGTGCTTAAGACTTTGTTATCTGCAATCAACTCCATCTCACTGAGGATCCATGGAGATTGCTTGCTCTTGATTGTACGTACTTGCTACGACATTTACTTAGGAAGCAAAAACGTAGTGAATCAGACGACTGCAAAGGCTTCGCTGATCCAGATACTGGTGATTGTGTTCAGGAGAATGGAGGCGGATTCGTCAACGGTTCCAATTCAGCCGATCGTAGTGGCTGAGTTGATGCAGCCGGTCGAAAAATCAGATGCGGATGGGACAATGACGCAGTTTGTTCAGGGTTTCATCACTAAAATCATGCAGGATATCGACGGTGTGTTGAATCCGACAATGCCATCCTCAGGAGGCCAAGATGGGGCATTGGAGACTACCACAGTCGAGACTACGAATCCGACGGATTTGTTGGATTCCACTGATAAGGACATGTTGGATGCTAAGTATTGGGAGATCAGTATGTACAAGTCGGCTTTAGAGGGAAGGAAGGGGAAGCTAGCAGATGTGGAAGCTGAGAGAGATGATGATTTAGAGGTTCAGATAGAGAATAAGTTGCGGAGAGATGCCTTCTTGGTTTTCAGGGCGCTTTGTAAGCTCTCAATGAAGGCGCCTGCAAAGGAGTCTTCGACAGATCCGCAGTCGATGAGAGGGAAGATTCTGGCTCTTGAGCTGTTGAAGATCTTGTTGGAAAATGCTGGAGCTGTCTTTAGGACAAGCGAAAGGTATGCTCCTGTAACTGAAATGTTTGCATACCTCATTTGCTCTTGTTTGAGAATGTAAGGGAGAATTCACAGTATGAAGTCAGATTTTAATTCTACTGATGAATTGCCATCTCTGTTGAACAGGTTCTTAGGTGCTATCAAACAGTATTTGTGTTTGTCTTTGTTGAAGAACAGCGCTTCTACTCTCATGATTATCTTCCAGCTTTCTTGCTCTATTTTTATCAGCCTGGTTGCAAGATTTCGAGCTGGATTAAAGGCCGAAATTGGAGTTTTTTTTCCCATGATTGTTCTTAGAGTCGTGGAGAATGTTGCTCAACCTAATTTTCAACAGAAGATGATTGTTCTTCGGTTTCTTGACAAACTTTGTTTGGATTCACAAATCCTAGTTGATATATTCTTGAACTACGATTGTGATGTCAATTCTTCAAATATTTTTGAGAGGTATGTTTTGTCCATTGATGCTTCGCTGTTCAGAGTTTTAGTTTTGAGTGAAAGTTCTTTGCCTAATTAATGTTTCCTCTGTATGATCATGTTTAGGATGGTAAATGGTCTCCTTAAAACTGCTCAAGGGGCTCCTCCTGGTACAGCTACAACGCTGTTGCCACCTCAGGAGGGAGCTATGAAACTTGAAGCCATGAAATGCTTAGTAGTCATATTGAAATCAATGGGAGATTGGTTGAACAAGCAGTTGCGCCTGCCAGTTTCTAATTCGTTGAATAAATCTGAAGCACTGGAGATCGATCTGGGATCCGGAACCCCCAAGCTGGCAAATGGAAATGCTGATGAGTCTGTTGACGGATCAGATACCCAATCTGAATCTTCAGGAGGTACATCTGATGCTCTGGCCATCGAGCAGCGCCGGGCTTACAAGCTCGAACTTCAGGTAAGAACGAAAAGATGTTTGGGTATTTGGTAGATTATTCAGAAGAATGACATCCTCTAGTTGTTCTGTATTCATTAATTCTAATTTAAATGTTTGTCCCAGGAAGGTATTTCTCTTTTTAATCGGAAGCCAACAAAAGGCATTGAATTTCTCATCAATGCGGGTAAGGTGGGTGACTCTCCTGAAGAAATAGCAGCTTTCCTCAAAGATGCGTCAGGGTTAAGTAAAACTTTGATAGGTGATTACCTTGGAGAAAGAGAAGAGTTACATCTCAAGGTGATGCATGCGTATGTGGATTCTTTTGATTTTCAAGACATGGAATTTGATGAGGCAATAAGAACCTTTCTTGAAGGTTTTAGGCTGCCAGGAGAAGCACAAAAGATTGACCGGATCATGGAAAAGTTTGCTGAACGTTACTGCAAGTGCAATCCTAAAGTGTTTACTAGTGCAGACACAGCTTATGTTCTTGCATATTCTGTGATCATGCTCAATACTGATGCCCACAACTCCATGGTGAAGAACAAGGTTTGTTTCATTCATTGTCTAGGATAAACACAGTTATTGTAGAAGTTTGAGGTAGAATATTGATGAAGTTCTTTGTGCATTTTTTTTCTTTTGAAACATATAGATGTCTGCCGATGAGTTTATTAGAAACAATCGTGGAATAGACGACGGAAAGGATTTACCTGCGGACTACATGAGATCGCTGTATGAAAGGATAACAAAGAATGAGATAAAGATGAAAGAAGATGAGTTGCCTTTGCAACAGAAACAATCTGCAAACTCAAACAGAATGCTTGGTTTGGATGGTATATTAAACATAGTGATCCGTAAGCAGTGGGGAGATTCATATGTGGAAACAAGTGATGATCTGATGAAGCATATGCAAGAGCAATTTAAGGAAAAAGCTCGCAAATCAGAGTAAGATCACTCACTCTTCCTTGCATTATAAGTTGTTAACAACCTTTTCCACCATGACAACCATTTCTTTGTAACACAGTATTATTCATTCTACTGAACTGTTCCATCTTTTAGGCATCTTTGACCGATGCAGTATTTGAATTTACTTGAGTTTGCAGGTCAACCTACTATGCTGCAACAGATGTGGTTATTCTCAGATTTATGATTGAGGCTTGTTGGGCTCCTATGCTTGCTGCATTCAGTGTGCCGCTAGACCAGAGTGATGATTTGATAGTTATCAACTTATGTCTTGAAGGCTTTCACCATGCAATCCATGCCACTTCTTTGATGTCAATGAAGACCCATAGAGATGCTTTTGTGACTTCACTAGCAAAGTTCACTTCACTTCACTCCCCAGCTGATATCAAGCAGAAAAATATTGAAGCCATCAAGGTTGGTATTTTACTTCATTAAGTGTTAGGTGATTGTTGTTTTTAATATTCCCCCTCCCTAGCTGTACCAAAAGACATGATATGTATCTTGGATATCTTTTCCACATCTTACCTCGTTCTGTCTATTCCTTGCGTTACTTGTATGTCAATGATATCTCCTTCCTGCTCTCATTGTTACCTTTATCATGTAAACTTTATCTGGATCCTAATTGATATTGGTTATTTTCCAGGCGATTCTCAAACTTGCTGATGAAGAGGGCAACTATTTGCAAGATGCCTGGGAGCATATACTAACTTGTGTTTCCCGTTTTGAGCAACTACATCTCTTGGGAGAAGGTGCTCCTCCAGATGCCGCTTTTTTTGCTTCCAAGCAAAATGAGTCGGAGAAATCAAAGCAATCCAAACAAAATGTACTTCCTGTCCTGAAAAAGAAGGGTCCTGGAAAAAGTCAATATGCAGTGACAGGTGTCTTGAGGGGTTCATATGACAGCATGAGTTTTGGCAGAAAAGGTTCTAGGAACGTGAGACAAGAACAGATGAGCAGTATAGTCTCTAATTTGAACTTGTTGGAGCAGGTTGGTGAAATGAATCAAATCTTCGCACAGAGTCAGAAACTGAACAGTGAAGCGATAATAGACTTTGTTAAAGCTCTCTGCAAAGTTTCTATGGATGAGTTGCGGTCTCCTTCTAATCCACGCGTTTTTAGCCTCACAAAGATTGTTGAGATAGCGTAAGAATCACCTAGTTCCCTTCCTTTCTTTTCTCTCATATCCTGTATATAATAGATGTACCCTGTGTTTTAGCATTTTAAAGTATATAGTCTGACATCTTCAGTTTGTTATTGGTGACAGGCATTATAACATGAACCGCATAAGGCTTGTTTGGTCAAGCATCTGGCAAGTGCTATCGGGGTTCTTTGTGACCATTGGGTGCTCAGAGAATCTTTCTATTGCAATCTTTGCGATGGATTCTTTGCGCCAGTTGTCAATGAAATTCCTGGAACGGGAAGAGTTGGCCAATTACAACTTCCAGAATGAATTTATGACACCTTTTGTCATTGTTATGCGTAGAAGTAATGATGTTGAGATCAGAGAACTTATCATCCGATGTGTTTCTCAGATGGTATTGTCGCGTGTAAATAACGTCAAGTCCGGATGGAAAAGCATGTTCATGGTAGGCATTTATTCTATTTCACTGGTGACCACATTTATTAAAGAAGTCTTGGTTTGCTTACCTAACCTCACAATGTGTCTTCTTTCTTTTGCAGGTTTTTACAACAGCAGCATATGATGACCACAAAAATATTGTGCTTTTGTCCTTCGAGATTATCGAGAAGATTATCCGAGAATATTTCCCGTACATCACAGAGACAGAAACCACCACTTTTACAGATTGTGTGAATTGCCTTGTTGCATTCACCAATAACAGATTTAGCAAGGATATCAGTCTCAGTTCCATAGCTTTCCTCCGGTATTGTGCAACAAAACTGGCAGAAGGAGATCTTAAATCAACATCATCGAAAAAAGACAAGGAAACTTCTGGAAAGATTCCTCAGTCATCTCTCCACACAGGAAAAAGCGGGAAACAAGAGAACGGAGAGATTGCAAACAGTAATAATCAGCTACACTTTTGGTTTCCCTTACTAGCAGGTATAACATTTAACTGAGTATTCTCTACATTAAGTATTTTCAAATTACCTTTTTCGCATGTTGTTATCTAAGTTGAAAATTATTATTCATGTGTTTCACCTTCCTATATCTAATTTACAGGCTTATCAGAGCTTAGTTTCGATCCAAGACCAGAAATCAGGAAAAGTGCACTACAGATTCTGTTTGACACCTTACGCAACCATGGCCACTTATTTTCTCTACCATTATGGGAAAAAATATTTGAGTCAGTATTATTTCCTATATTCGACTATGTACGGCATTCTATTGATCCTTCTGGCGAAGAAGAGTCTGCAGATCAAGGAAGTTATGGTGATGTGGATGAGCTAGACCATGATGCGTGGCTCTATGAGACCTGCACATTAGCACTACAGCTTGTAGTGGATCTATTTGTCAAATTCTACACGACGGTCAATCCACTTCTAAAAAAAGTACTAATGCTTCTTGTGAGTTTCATAAAAAGACCTCACCAGAGCCTTGCAGGGATTGGTATCGCTGCGTTCGTTCGTCTTATGAGTGATGCCGGTGGGTTGTTTTCTGAAGAAAAATGGTTAGAAGTTGTGTCGTCTTTAAAAGAATCAGCAAAGACGACTTGCCCAGATTTTTCTTATTTCCTCAGCGAAGAATATGTGGAGAGAAGCCAACGAAATGCTCAGAACAGTAATGCAGTGTCTGTTGTTCCAATTGGCTCGGATGGTAATGAAGAGAGTCAGAGAACAGCAAACCGTCTTTACGCCGTTATCTCTGATGCTAAGTGCCGAGCCGCTGTTCAGCTTTTGTTGATTCAGGTTAGCTCCTCTCGGGCCTTTCTTTTTAAACGAAGACTTAGAAATTTGGAATAAATAAGGAACATACACTATCATGTAAACAAAAATACATAAATTTACGTTTTAAAACAGTGTAGGCCTTAGTTCATAAGGTGATTACAAACAGAAATCAGAACTAAACATGAATTATTAATATTCCAGCTTCGTCGATTGAGATGCATTTTTTTTCTCAGGCTGTGATGGAGATTTACAACATGTACAGACCTCAGCTTTCAGCGAAAAACACATTAGTCCTCTTCGATGCATTGCACGGTGTAGCATTACATGCTCACAGTGTAAACAGCAATGCGATACTCCGTTCAAGGCTACAAGATCTAGGACCCATGACACAAATGCAAGATCCTCCACTACTTCGTCTCGAAAACGAGTCTTACCAAATCTGCCTCACATTCGTACAGAATCTCGTTTCAGACAAAAACAAAGATGCAAAAGAAGAAATAGAATCACTTCTAGTCAACATCTGTCAAGAAGTTCTCAGCTTCTACATCGAAACTTCTTCTTCTGCGAAAAAACAACAATCAGAATCATCACGAGTCAGTGAATACCGATGGAGAATACCACTGGGATCAGGAAAACGAAGGGAATTAGCGGCAAGAGCTCCTCTTATAGTTGCAACACTTCAAACAATATGTACATTGGAAGATGTATCATTTGAGAAGAACCTGAAATGTCTGTTTCCACTTTTGGCTAGCTTGATTTGCTGCGAACACGGCTCTAGCGAGGTTCAGGTCGCGCTTGCTGACATGCTCGGCTTATCGGTTGGCCCGGTTTTACTCCAATGGTGCTGATTTGTTCCTTTTTTTTTTTGGCTTTCAATCTTTCATTTTGGCTTGTAATGTTAATGCTTGCCTTATAGAGTTCTCTGAGAATTCATTGGTTCAATATATACTTCTCGTACGCCCAATATTTTACCAACTTCCAACTTACGACGCCGCATTTATCCTTACGCAGAGTAATTTTTTTCAAAGTTTCTGATTGGTAATTCTTGGAACAATTGGCTTTTTGTGAAATTTGCATGATAGATTTCACACAATCTCAAACGCATTGTTGAGAGACTATTGCGGGGGAATTAGTCAAGTCTTAAATGCTAAATTAAGAACTATAAAATCTGCACTACAATAATACATGGGTTAACAAATGTTTTAACGAATGATAAGGGCCGTTAAGTACGTAAAAGGCATCGTGCATCGGTGCATGGCTTTGACATGTGCCACTTGATGTTGAGGAAAGCGTAGACAATTCTCTTGCACCAAAATCTCGAGCCTTGGGGTAAAATGGAAAATATATTGTCACACTCTCTCTTGCGTTTGAACAAAAAAATGCTACATGCCTCCACCAATTCTCAATTCTCTTGGGTTAAAAAAATGCCCTTGGTTCTGTCTCAAATGAAGACAAAACCTGAACTGGTCTGTTTGGTTCGGGTAGGATAA